AGGAATCTCACCAGTTTCTGTATGTGGGGAACTTTTTGATACAGATATAAAAATTAAAATATCTGGAGTAAATACTAAACAATGGCTCCCACCAGACTGCACTGAGCACTGCATTCAGTCCTAGTCATGGATTCCTTTCTAGTGAAAGGTGATGTAAATCCTAGAGCCGGCTCTGTGTGCTGAATAAAATGCTGATGATTTGTGGAAAACCTCTGGTGCCTCAGGAGGTTTTATACTCGCTGGTGCCTAGGAACCAAAGGTTTAGTAAGTAAGCTTTGTGGGTGGGAGTTGGAGGGGTTTTTTTGTAGCCCTGGAGTAGAGCTTTCTTAGTCACTTCCTTGGACAAATCATAAGGTTTCTGAATTTTTTTCTGGTTAACTGTCTTCAGCAAAGATTCAGTTGTTTTGAGGCAGGGCTTCTGAGGGGTGAAGAGCATTAACTAAACTCTTTGGGAGATGTGCGTTATGTCTCCGTGCTATTTTGTAGATGGTCCTAGTATCTCTTGAAGATAGCATTAGGACAGTATCCTTTCTATAGTATCATCTGTGTCCTAATTTCTGAATCAGTAATCCATTGTTCAGTTCTGTACCTGCTCCTTTCTTTTTTTCCATTTCCAGCTGCAGGCAAACAATACTGACTGCTAATAGAGTCCACAGCTGCAGTTGGGAAGATTGATTTCTGTGTAAATCCTGAGGCTGCTGAATGATACCTTGCAGTGCTGGCAGGTTTTGTTAAAAAATCTTTTTTAACCATGTAGCCAGAACAGGTTAACTGCACTGCTGGTTAGCTGCTGATTTTGCTGCTAGGCTTGGTTTGAGTGGAAAACCATATTATTTGTAAAATGCTGTGTTTGTCTTCTTAAATTTTACACTTTAGCTCTGTTTTCTAGTACCATACATTTATGATCCTACCTCAGAATTTAAAGAAACTTGTGCAATACTTTATGATTTACGTCGTACAACAAAAAGAACCCAGTGTCAGCCTCTAACTTTAGGTGCAGTTCCACGACATTTATGCTATTTAAATACAAAGCTGCTCTAGTTAAATCTTCTAAAATAAGCTTAACTGGGTTGTTGCAAGACATTTTCCATCAAATCTGAACTTGAAAGCACATGGAATGTCCTTTTAACATCTGATTTTCTGTCGTAGTTGGTTAGATCACACACATGTAAGTGTTTCTATCTGAAGGGCAGTAAAAAGTATGAAACAACTGATTTTTAAAAGGTTAAGGCTGGTAAGTGTTAGGAATTATCTTATTATGGGTAAGTATAAAAATGCAAAGAATGTTCTGAAGGGATTTAAAGCGGTTCAAAATATCTTTCACTTTGGAAATGAACTACACCTGCTTTAAGTTTCACTATCAACCCAATGAAAAACAGAAAAAAAACCACTTGGAAAGGTCAAAATAATCAAAATGGACCGTGTATAGTACAAAACTGAGAAGTTATCTTTTTTGTCATCATTCAGTAGTTAAAATTGCTGCTATTTGTGTTGACAAGACCAGCCTAAACTTGTTATCTGCAGAAAACCCTTGTAAATACTAATTACGGTTCCATGTCTGAGAGAAGTGGGGTTTTTTTTTTAAAGAAAGGTCAACCAGGTTCTTCATTTTCTGCAAATTCAGGATGTTCCCATTTCTTCCCATATTAAAAGCCTTATTTGGTATCAGTGAAGGAGCGAGTACATTTATCCTGACATGCTCTTCTGCAGAAAGAGAGCAGGCAAAGTTTCTTGGTAGTGCAAAGGTGAGGTGCCTGTGTCTTGCCTCTGCAGTAAAACTACCCTGAATCTTTTGGTAATCTGGAAGAATCATTAAACCAGCGGTCTCAAATCTTTGCTTAGGAAGTTTCTACTTGCCTAGCCTGCTTGTCGGACCCTGGTCTGCCATTGTGGAGCTGGAAGATTATTGTGGTTGTGTACCTTTGCCCAGCTCCCATTTCTGTGAGAACTGAGAAGGGAGGACAGGGAGAGTGGCAGCTGAACGCTGTGGAGGCAC